TAAATAAAAATAATGAATCCCTCTTTTTTTTTTTTTTTGTCTTAAAACGTGAAAGGAAAAAGATGTAAGCAAAATAGACAATTATATTTTATTGTAAAACCTGACAAGATCGTGAAATCGAAAGTGAAAGCATCCGAGGCCCGGCTTATAACACAGCATTAACTACTTTCGTTTCCATATAACTATAATCTACGATAAAAGTTCATCAGCGTGCATTGATTAATAGCATGTTGTAGGCAAAAAAAAATAAAATAAAACTGCTCGTGCAACCAACTGAGAAAGTTAATTGCAAAGCAAAAGAGGAACTCCCATTCACAAAATTCAAATCACAAATAATACTACTGATGAAAAAGAACGGGTTGAATGTTAACTACTTTCGTTTCCATATAACTATAAACTACGATAAAAGTTCATCAGCATGCATTGATTAATAGCATGTTGTAGGCAAAAAAAAACTGTGCTTGTGCAACCAACTGAGAAAGTTAATAGCAAAAGAGCGACCAGTGGGAAGAATGAGTCTGGAGCCCTGAATTGCCCAGCTCTCTCTGTCAATGATCTAGCACCCCCTCAGCACCTGCGTTCAAATATCTCTGGAGCCGCCGCTGGTACATCGATGTATTTTTGAAAAGCAAAAATTTAGTTTGTTCAACTCTAAACCCAGTCCCCAAGTAAATTAGATTATTAAATAAAAAACTAGCAAAACGAGTTGCGCGGTGTCCCCACCACTTTTCAAAGCAAAGTTACGCCACTGCCTGAGGGTGAATATGTTTTTAGCAAATTCTAATTTTGGGTGAACTATTTCTTTAATACAATGTCATTATTAATATTAAAACATGACTTAAATGAACCTGCAATTCCGTACAAAACACTGCCTAAATTTGACAACATTCAGATACTAACTGCAAAGTTTAAATGGAAAATCAAGTGCATTGCATTCAGTGTGGGTAGGTATGTGAGTTTTTGAGTATGCATCTTTTCTGGATTGCGACAGATTTTGTAGGCTATGTTAAAAAAAAATCAAACCACATAAAATATCTCTGGAGCCGCCGCTGGTACATCGATGTATTTTTGAAAAGCAAAAATTTAGTTTGTTCAACTCTAAACCCAGTCCCCAAGTAAATTAGATTATTAAATAAAAAACTAGCAAAACGAGTTGCGCGGTGTCCCCACCACTTTTCAAAGCAAAGTTACGCCACTGCCTGAGGGTGAATATGTTTTTAGCAAATTCTAATTTTGGGTGAACTATTTCTTTAATACAATGTCATTATTAATATTAAAACATGACTTAAATGAACCTGCAATTCCGTACAAAACACTGCCTAAATTTGACAACATTCAGATACTAACTGCAAAGTTGAAATGGAAAATCAAGTGCATTGCATTGCATTCAGTGTGGGTAGGTATGTGAGTTTTTGGGTATGCATCTTTTCTGGATTGCGACAGATTTTGTAGGCTATGTAAAAAAAAATCAAACCACATAAAAAAACAGTTTTTTTGGACATTGCATTCATTCCTATGGCGGGTCAAATCCTCGTGGACCCGCGAGGGACACTTTCATTGCTTTTTTAATTACACCCGCATAAAGTCCTCGAATCCACTAAATTTTTTATTTTATTTCTTTCTTTATTTATTTTGTGTGTGTGTGTGTGTGTGTGTGTGTGTGTGTGTGTATTCCAGGTTCAAGTTTGACAAACGTCACAAAGTCTCGTACCATTCCAATGAACGCTCAGTTTTTAAAAATGAGTTTCGGGTCAAAACTCTCCAAGGGACGGGTGAGAGACCCAAGGTGTTTCTGTTGTAACTGAGACTAAATTTATTTTTAACTTGTTCTTAATTGTTGTTTCTAAAACACCTTATACTTCCATTTATGATGTATTTAGAAAACGCAGATGCAAGATTATAGTTTTGCAGCTGACCATTTCAATTTTGGAAGTCAGTAAGGAGAGAGATCCATCTCATTAGTTTTCACTTCTACTTATCTATTTTAATTTAATTAATTTATTTATCATTGATTAAATGTTACTTCATTAATTCATTGATATTTTTACTTTTTATATTTGAACAACTTTTGTCTGCTGATTGTATTTGCCGCTGGAAAAAAATAATTTAAATATTTAAGGCCATTATGAATTATGTTTGCTTTGGGGGCTTTTTATGTTTTAAATTTCTTGATAAAACTTAAATGCCTAATCAACTGTATTTCACCCCACACAAAACTGACTGTCTACATCAGCTTTCACCCTAATTTATTTATTTTTGTGTTTTATAGATGTTTTGTCATTAAATAAGTTTTGGCGCTCTTTTGATCTCCTCAGCCGTTGCTCGTCTTGCGGTAATGACGTCACCCCTCCCGCGCGCTGCCTTCAGCCTCGAGTTTTCAGAAGCGAGCCGTTTTTCCGAGTTTACGGAGTTTTCTGAGGTGAGTGTATTTTCACAATGGTACCCTTTTACACTTTACACAGTTTAAGCTAGTCACTTGTTTTCATCGAGTGTCATTCATAACTCGCACTTCACTTCCGATGACTAACATTACACTTTCATTTCGTAATAACCTCGTTCTGTTCCGTAGAGAAAAACGTTTCTACACACGTGATTCGGGTTACTGTATAAGAGCATGCTTATATGAGAAATGCTAAGCAGCTAAAGCGATTAGTTTATTCCAAAATGCAACAAATGACACATTTCTGCCTCACATGACTAGAATCATATTATTCTCATAAATTGATGCGTAGCTTGATGCTAGCTGTAGCCAGGGTTGCCAACTCTCACGCATTTGACACAGGCTTCCAGGCTCTGTCTCACGCGCTCACTCTGCCCATGTAAATCTCACTCCAAAGTGACAACTCTGCTTGTGATCAGTGGCAGAGCCAGGATGTTTTCACCTGGGAGGGGCCAGCAACCAGTCTGGGGTGGCACAGAAATATTCATTATTTCAATATAAAAATGTGTTTCACTGTAAAGTTCTGGACTGTTTTAGTACCTAAAACACAACTGAATACAATTAATTTCTACTTAATTGTAGTTGAGATATTTGTGAATTAGGTCAAGTAATACTGAGTGAATATGACCATTTTTGTATTATTCCTCACCTCCAGGTATTTTAATAAAGGGGCTCACTATAGCTTTATTGCTCACTCAGCTTGGTTCTGGTTCTTAAAACCCCCTAAAGCTTGTTCTCCATCATTGCATACTCGTGGATGAAAGTGAAAAAGTCAACAGCACATAAATGCCAGAATATAAAATGAGCAATTTTATGCTCATTTAGTTTCATTTTCGTTTGTACTTTACAAATTAACGAGAGAAAAAAATAGTATATTTTTTAGTATAAGTGCACTGTGCTCACTTTTACTTGTGCATTAAATGTGAGTCACTATTACCATTACCTTTCTCCACAAAGGCTGGCATGGCAGTTCTACTTCTGACACTGGAAATGTTCCTGTGCATATCGGGCACTGGGCTTTAAGTGCCTTCACATTAAAGACAAAAATGTATGCAGGGCAAATTTTGTAAAATAGGAATCGATAATTGACAATGTTCACTTTAGCTTTTGCTTGTGTACCTCCTGAGGGGGATTGCAACATTGGATGATGTTGAATGAGGTCTAAGTTTTTGCCTTGAAGATGTTGCCTCCTCCATCAACACCAAATCTTCTTCCTGCAAACAGAAAATAAAAATGTGATTTTGTACTGATAGAATTCTAGGCTGTTGGGAGTAGTCACAAATAAAAACACCCCTTAGAAGTCAGGGGCATATTGAAATGTGGAAGTTAGTTCATTAAAAGGTCTTCAAAGCAAAGTCTCTGCAAGGCTGACAAGTCCTGAATATCAATCGTTACTATTGAAGTAATTGAAGTAAGTAATGCTACTGAAGTATTAAAGTTTTGCAATTGTCAGTGCACAGGTCTTAAAGATAGTACAAAACAAACCT